TAAGCACTATAGCACTGTCTTCCCGTTGTTCATTGATTTGCTCAAGCAGGCACCAGTAACATCTCACAACAAATTGTGAAACTTGTTACAGTTTTTGGCATATCGAATACATCATGGGTAGCTTGCCAGGCTTTGTCGTGCAGGCACGATACTCTCATTAGCTTGCTGGACTCTCCAAGAGGGGTGGAGGAATTGAACTGGGTTAGCTGCGTGCAAGGCAAATGCCCTTAGAAATTAACAATGGGAGATAATAGGAAAATGGTAAGATGGTAGAATGCTAGGACACTAAAGATTGGCGAGACAAAAAAAAAAAAACCGCAAAAGGGGTTACTCTAAGAGAAACCGTAAATATATTACACATGCAGGCACACAAATGTACATATAGACATATTTTATAAAATATATACATGCATTTATGTAATGTTAAGGAATTCATGTAATAAAAGTAAAGGCCCTCCCGTTGATCATCGATTTGCTCGAGCGGGCCCAGTAACGTCTCCATTGGAGACTTTGTTGTTACTGTGTCTGGCATATCGAACACGTCACGGGGAGCTTGCCAGGCTCTGCCGTGCTGGCGAGATACTCTCGGTAGCTTGCCGGGCTCTCCGAGAGGGGCGGAGGAATCGAACTCGGGTCGGCCATGTTGGCTGCGTGCAAGGCAAACGCCTTACCACTGTGCTATCACTCCAGAGCACAGCGGGTAGGGCGTTCGCCTTACACGCAGCCAACATGGCCGACCATGTAATAAATATAATGACAAAATATATAATCTGTATGATATATTCTATATGTTATATTAAATACCTATATATATATGAGTACAGATATGTGTGTCATCATAGAGATGCATTTATTGTCTCTCATTACTATCTTTCTCTCAGTTCAATATTACAAAAGATCACCCTTACACCTTCATAAATTCCTTTTAAAAAACATTAACTTTTTGTAATAATTGAGCAATGTTTGAAAAACATGGAAAATTGGTAAAGAAAAAAATCTAATAATCTAGTGAAAAAATAACGGCCCAGTAAATTCAGTACTAGTAATAACCACATTGTTTTTGGTAGATGGAAGGGCTAGGGTAGGAACACAGGTAAAAGGTAGGTGGCTAAGTGCTTAAGTACATAGTGAATGTATATGTCACATCATCGAAATATACTATACACACAAAGTTTTATGCGTAATGGTATACCATTTTCAAGCGATTAAAAGTCTCTGTCAGTCCTATTTTGTATAATCTATAGCTTGTAATAAATAACACAAAAGCAACATATAAATAAGCATAACTAAACTCACAGATTCATAATAGGCCGCATTTCCCTTCTGGATCCTTGCAGAAGGTAGCATATGGAAAAGAACTAGTAAGTTCAATATTTATTTTACTTTACCCTCCCTATTCATCCTACAAAGATCATATTTCTGCTCTGCAACACTACCTGCCATGTAACCTAAGACATGACTAGGAGCATGGAATACCTTAGTAATTCATTTTGACCCAGTGGCCAGTCAGTAGCCTGTGAGCTTGCGACCTAGAGGGCAGTGACATTTACTGCCACTCTTCCCTGATTCTTAGAAACACAACAGCAGGCAGCAATGCCACCCCAAACAACTCTCTGTGCTTCAGTTACCTTAAACTTAAACTTGACTTCACTTTGCAATTGATGGTTCAGGGATCATTCAACCATCTCTGAGGTATTTTTGGTTTTCCCAACGGGGGAAACAATTTCTTCCTGCAGCTATGGGGTGATGACCCAGGTATTCTGCTGAATATCCTGGCCTTGCTCCCCACTTCCCTACAAGAAGAATTATGTGGTCCCAGTGTCATTTGGAAGCCTGAGTTGGGAATCTGTGGCTTGCTGATCTGAGCAGGTGTAGCGCACTCAGCCTGGGTATCTATAGCAGCCTCTGAACATCTTTCCTGGAGCTGGCTCTAGGATTTTGTATCTAGACACATGGCCTGTGGAAACACAGAATAAAAAAAATGAAAAGATAAAAAAATAAATTCATAACATCTTCCCTTTATTATGCCAGACTTGTACTTTTTATTTCTTCTTCCCCTACTTATCTGTGAATAGAAAACTAGGCATAAATTTCAGTGTGGAACAAGCACTGGGCTGAAAAACTGGAAATCAGGAAGGGTCCACAGGCAAGATGCGATACTATCTTTGGGCCCATCCTGGAACTGAGGAACCATATTTAGGGATTTCTGAGGACTTTCTTCCTTTTTACATCTTACTACAAAATCTTGCCTGGCAAGATTTAAGTTTAATTTTCAGAGTTGCCAGTTGAACCAAGGTTATTATGAGAGGAATGCTTTCAGCATATTGATTTTTTTTACATTAGGTAAAGGAACATTTATTTCTAATAGAGGAAATGGCTATGTTAACTACTGTAATGGCTTCCTTCACCATTGGGAAGTCTGCTATTATTATAGACCACTAATTATGGATTGAGCCTGAGATAGTATGAGAAAGATATAAAATATAACTGCAGTTGGATTGAGATGAGAAATTGTATGGCATCTTACTATCACTGTAGGAATCTGCCGAAGAATTTCCTGTGACTCAATCAAGTCATGATGTCTCAGAAAAGCTGAAACATAGTCAATAACCTGACACTGGAAAAGAACACAAAGGGACTCAAGGCCCCAGGCTCCAAAGAGCTCCAACATTGACAAGTCTCTGGGCTATAAGCATGGAACTATTCTTCTGCATACCTGTTTCCTTATCTAGAAAATGGCATAATAATAACCCCCCAAGGGATGGTGTGCACCTGTGTGGTTAAAGCACTTAGAATGTAACCACTCAATCATTATTAGCCACTCACTTATGTTGTTGTATATTTCACATTCAGGTATCAGGTCAAAAACAAGAACCATAACATTATTTTGTTCCTTAAATAATAATAAAATCCAGTAGTACAAAATCCTGGTTATCAGCCTTGTTAAGAATTAAGAATGATTGCCTCAAAAAGAAGGATTCAAGCATAAAATAGAGTGCTTTCAAATTATTCCTGAAGCAAAACTCATCTTCAGTCATTTTATCACTGAGGGGGAAAAAAAGACAAACAACAACCAAGGAACTTTCTAGCTTTTCTCCAAAATCATTCACAAACTTCTAGGAAGAACAGCTGTTCCTTGATTTACAGTTTAATTCCATGAGCTTTATTAGACTAAAATTTACCAAATATCAGAGAGGTCTGGAATCAAAAATAATTATAAAATGTCCTGGGTTCTAAATTGGGTGTTTTCAGAAACAAAGATGAAGAGTACTAATTTACATCTAGCATTAACCTTGCGTTCCAATGGGCAATAGACTGCTAGTTTGAGTCAAATCATGGGATTTATATTTTAGAAAATGAGTTTGTGAAAAGAGCTAACTTTAATTGATTTATTAAATTAAACAAAGCTTCATTTCTTTGAAACAACATTTTTGTCAAGCAACTTTGTTTCTCATAAAATTAGACAACTTTTTAAAAAAGGTAGACATGGATTTTCTCTCTTGATCAGAGTTCAGAATGCAGAATCAGTGGATCTGGTTATGATCAAACCTCTTAATCCAGTTTCAGTTATTAGTTCTTTGCTATTTTTGATTTTATAGTTGTTATTTTATGACTGATATTTAGACATTCAGTAATTTTTTAAAATGCATAATTTTACATGAGTCCTTCAAAATGGCCTGAAAATGAGAGTCTGTTGTCATAATTTTAGAGAGGAAGGAACTACTGACCTCGAATGAACTGATGGTTTCCAGGGCTGTCTCATTTTCATATCTTTAAGTTCAGCGCTGTGGCAGAGTTTCACGTTTTCACAGGCTTGAAAGGAATGTGGTGTCGAGAGCTCCAGAGATTTTCAGGTGGACAGCAATGTTTTTCCCACTACCAAATTCTTGAAAACACTAGGGACCAAATATGATTAACTGCATTCATTTCCCTGGAGACCCAAGCTTTAAATGTGTATTTTTTTTTGCCACTGTACTCTGTATCTTCTTTTAGAATATTTATAGGTTTAATTTGTCAATGAGGATATGAATATTTGTTGTTGTGCATTATCATTTTTGTGTACAAAAAAGCATTATCAGTGAGTTGTATTGCCCAATGATACAAGCTTAAGGCATGTGTTTTGATGAAGTAAAATTCAGAGACAACCATTTTGAGTCACATATCTTTAACTTAAAATTAACTTTGTTTTCCATTTTCTGTATCTCTTTGACAGTCCTTATCAATATCACGTTCATGGTAAATGATATGTTTTAAATAAATAAGTCAAATATTTCCCCGTTGTTTTAGCATGTATATGCATTAAGCTTTATTTCTCCATCCTAAAGTAAAAGTATGAAAAATTATCTTGAAAGTTTTTTCCAGTATCTAAGATTGTCTAAATCTTACATTCAGTCTCTTCAGTTGCTGAGGATATTCTGCTGTAAAGCCAAAATACTTATGGGTATATTTTGAGAAACCTCCCAAGCTGGGGACCAAGGAGATCCACATGCCCCACCAGCAATTCTTGGTCACCATGTCTAGAGGTGAAATGTCAGGGCTCTAGGATGCATTGCTGATTGGGCATTGTGGTGCCAGGGATACTGAATCACTCTGTCAGTGCTGAGGGCTTCCAGGCCTGCATTCTGAGTTATTCAGGTGATCATGTAGCACAAGGAATCAAACACAGTTCTGTCCCCCAGGCACTCTTTATGGGGTGTTTTAAAGGGTAGGATTCTACCTTCCTGCAGGATGCTTTCAGGTGCCCATCACCAAGTTTTGTTGCCAAGAACTATTCCCACCTCCCGTATCTCTCCCCTCTTCTTCATCTTCATGGACCTGCAGTGCTCAGTGCAAAGACAGCTCAGCCTGTGAGCCTTTGCCCAGGGGGAGCAGGATCTTAACAGTTGGTGGGAGGTCCAGTTACCTGGTTTTTCTAGTTGCACCTGTGTTTGGCACTGTGAATGTATAAATCTTAACCTGTGTCTTCTCCTTCTTCTTTTCCTGCTCAATCTGACCACCAGAAAGGAGAGCCTGCCTGCTATGGTCTTTCCTTGGACACAATTGAACAACTCACCTTCGAGATCCCCCTGAATGATTCAGGTTCTGCTGGTTTAGGGGTGAGCTTAAAGGGGAACAAGTCTCGAGAAACTGGAACAGACTTTGGGATTTTCATCAAGTCCATCATCCATGGAGGTGCTGCCTATAAGGTGAGTCAGGGAAGTGTTTCCGTGCCTGTGTTCAGAGCTTAGGGAGCTAGCCCTGCCAACTGGGTAGAGAGTGTGTGAAGGCTGGCGGCCACAGCCATCCAGAAGACAGAGTCGGGGGACCGAGGTGCCTGCCCATCAGGGTGACAGTTTCTGTTTTTATTCTTTAAGTGGTTACTTTTCTTTCCCAGAGAGGGTTCTGGAAAACCCACTGTGATTGATATTTTTCTTGCAGTCTTTCTTTTTATGACTCTGAATTTGTAACCTGACAGTGTTGAAACCTAAAAATATATAATTGGAAAAACAAAGCTAAAAACAAGTCAACACAAAGGCAGAAAATGAGAAAATTATGCCTGCAAGAATGTAAGCTCGCTGGAGCCTGGTAGAGATGGGAGTATAAATTAAAGGTCATTTGTCACACATTTTATACTCTTGAAAATAACCATGGAGCAGGGAATGAATATTTGTCTCAATATGGAGTAACATAAATTCCATTAAAAAGGGAAAGAAACTGATTCTTCTCTTTCACATCGTGGAGGTCTATGCCACCATAGCTATTTAAATAGTATAAAAAGGCACCAGGAGAATGTACAGCATTTAGGGTATATGGCTGGCATGCATGTACCATATTCACTACAACAACATGTGGTCCCTGGAGCATCACTGGTACAGCACAGGAGGCACCCAATACTGCATCCTTGGGTCTCTTTATGAACCTCTGGACCTATTGGCCAAAACTAGATAGTGGGTCCTCCTAGGTCTTATGACCACTGCTTTGGAGCCCCCACAACCCCCCAAAAGTTAGTGGCCTTCTTAACTAGTTTGACTGGATTCAGATCGATTTCACTCCTTCTAGCTATTTATGGATATGAACAACAAACTTGCCCTGTTGTACTACTATCTCCTCATCTGCAGAATAGGGATAATAATGCATACCTAATTTACATGGTTGTAAGGATGAACTAAATGTCACACATGGTGTGACTAAAGCTGGAAAGTAGTTCAAGGAGCAAACAAGCTTGTGCTCATTTTCAGCTGCCTGCAGCCTCCTAATCATTTCACATCCTGTCATTCTACCAAACTTCATGCCTATGAATCCTGCCTTAGCTGTTCCCACCCCCACTGAATGTGGGCATGTTATTCTCAATATGCCTCCATCTCCTCACTTGTGAATTTCAGTTAAACTAATAGTGCTCACCTCTGAATGGTCTAGTGAGCATTTATACAAAGACAGTGCATATGAAGTGACCAGCTCAGTGCCTGGGAATCCCCTTCAATCACTGTGAGCCCTTTTGTAATTACCTTGATAATAATATGTGTGACCCTCTCCCCTATGCCCCCCCATGCCCAATGCAAGAAAACCCAGTTAGATTCTACACCCAGCCCATGTTGTGAACGTCAGTGACTAAGCAAATGTCATTTTGCTTAGAAAATAAGAAATTCACTGTAAACAGATAATTATTTAATGCACTCCTTGGGGCAGTTAGCATTTGCTGCATAATAAATAATTGCAGCCTGGAGCTGGAGAGAAGTACAGTGTACAGGGCACTTGCCTTGCACATGACTGACCTGGGTTGGATCCCCAGAACCCCACCTGACCCCTGAGCGCTGTCAGAAGTCACTCCTGAGTGTACAGCCAGGATTAAGCTCTGAGCAGTGCCAGGTGTGTCCCACAAACCATAAATAAATAAGTAAATAAATACATAGTGGTAGAAATGCAGTAATGTATACCACAAAGTATTTTTTCTCCTTAAGTTTCTGCAGGGCAGCTCTAAGGACTCTGATTTAGGCTAGTGTGCACTCACAATATAGCACTGCAGGTTGGACATCCACTCTCCATATGTTTTCCCTATGCCTGGACCAGCATGCCAGCTCTAGCATGTTCCTATCACTCAGTGAGGAGTCAGAGGGCTAGCTGATCTGACTGATACTTCTTATGTTTTGGGTTCCAAAATCACCATTATCACAAATACATTATTGGTCACAGCTAGTCAAATAACTGAATTCAAGGTAAATAGGAAAGGAAACCTCATCCACCCATAATACAGCTATAGTGAAAGTGTGGGTGGAGAGAAGAGTAAAAATTGGAGCCAATATTTCATTTCATTAAACTCTCAAGGCTATTCTATTAAACTCTCGAAGCTGACTAGAAACACAAACCCAGGAAGAGATGGAAAATAATAACTATGGCAGCTATTTTTTTTTCGATTTATTACTTAATATATACTGGATACTGTGATAAGCATTTTAAGTGAATTCTCTAATTTTATTCTTCACATTCCCACTGGTTTATTTTTTGTTTTGTTTGGGGCCACATCAGTGGTGCTCAGGGCTCATTCCTAACTCTGTGCTCAAGAGTCACTCCTGGTGGACCATAAGGGGTCATTTGTCACTCTTGGTGGAACAACAGGGAATCAGATGCAGTGCTGGGTGTGAAACCCAGGACTGTGCCTTACCTGCTGTACAATCTCTCCAGCCCCATTACACTGGTTTATTATGCTGTCATTTCATCAATGGAAACTGCAGATGGCAGTGGTTACTTCATCTCCCCTGGTCACGTAGTGAGGCACTGAACCCAGCACGACTGATTTGAGCCTTTCCAGGTGCTACTGTGCACTGTGAGGAAGGCTTTCTTCTCCTCCCCCTGCAGGTATCTCAAAAGCAGGAGCCATTGCCCCAGAGTTCTCTTGTATCAGGCTTGTCATCTGTGGCCATGCCATCTAAAAACACGTGTTGGATTTGATTCAGTCCGGCCCATGTTTGTGAATGTCAGCTCAATACTCTTCTTATTCCTAACAATGACTCTATTTGTAGAATTTATTTCAAGTGAAATTGAAACTGAAATGAATTTTTGGAAATTAAAAGCAAACATCTTAGCTTTTTATGGGACATAAAAAGCTCAAGCAGATACTGGAAAGAGGTTTAATATGTATATGCACAGTTGTGTAAGTGAGCATCTCCTTACCTAAGCAGTTTCTTACAGTCCTGTTTCCCCAGAAAGATTTCACTTTCCATTTATGTAAATTTCTTTCCTGACACTGGTCTGCTGAGTCAGACAATCACACCATTAAAAACCACTGGACAGCATATTTATAGCTGATCTTAAACAGGAAGAGGCATCAATCACTGACTTAGTCTTATTGTGAATGTTTAGTATCCATTTGTCTTATTTACTTTTTGCAGTGTAAAGGGTAGAGACCTGAGCTTTGTTCACAAGAAATCCCATTAGCCAGAAAAAAAAAAAAAGGAATACTTTTTATTTTTTTTCTAGTGTTCTTCTGTTCAACAATTCACTGTTATTCCTCACAAAATCGCCACCTGTTATGTGAGTCAGGGTAATGTTTTACAAAAATTGTTTTGAGACTTTGTTTCTGTCCCTGTTCAGAAGACTCCTAACAGATTGCAGGGTCCAGGGGGCAGAGGGGAGATAAGCTGGGAATGTTCACTCTAGCATCTGGCCTCAGGTTTTTACCTGAAATCAACAAGCTGATCTTTCTGCCAGAACACAATCTTTCTCTTGGCCCTTCATACATCTAATTGGTTCTCAAGGTGTTGTTTTTTTGCTTTTTTGTTTTTCCTTTAGGGAAAGTGGATTTGTAAGAACTAAACTACTTTGGAAAGTATGGCCAAATTCTTCCTGTGGATTCTGTTGGCTGTTCTCCCGGGGGCTTTCTTTGGGGTAAACAAAGATCGGTTACTTTTTGCCAGATGTAAAATTCCTGAAATTCTGGGACTATGCTGAAGGCCTATTTATTTTCCCCAGTACCTCTCTAGCCACTGATTTCTATCATTTCCGTCTCTTACTATTCACTTCTATAGCTAGAACAGCGATGATTTAAAAAGTTGAGATAGAAAGACAAACCCTCACCAAGTGTTACATTAATCTGAATGAATGTTATAGCGATCTAAATGACAGATTTTATTCGACTCTATGACATTTAGGAGTGAAATGTATCTTACTGAGGAGTGAAATGCATCTTACTGAATTATCGAAATAATACAGTAAAGATTTTAAGGCAGCATTTTGAGGGAAAATTTAAAGGCAGTTTTTTAAGGGAGAAATGCCACATATAAGATAGATTATTTAAAGGTCCTTAAGTAGGTAGACCTGAATTTAAGAATACCTGTTATTCTCTAGAAAATTAATTAGCCAGGTTTGTGCTTAATAAATACTGCTTGATGATGATGAAATTAAATGAAAGAAAAATGCCTGACATAGCTAATTGCAAACGCATGCACTCAGAATATGAACTAGACATAATTTAAGTAATTTGATTCTTCTGTGCTTAGGGAATTTGGAATAGTTACTCTGTGAAATGTGAGATTTTATAATCTATACTATATAATAGGTAAAAGAAAAAGTTATTTTAAAAAGCCCCCCCCATTTAATTTCACTCTTCAATATGAGCTTTTCAAAAGAATACACAACTCTAGAATTTCCAGGATCTCTCTCTCTTCTCTCTCTCTCTCTCTCTCTCTCTCTCTCTCTCTCTCTCTCTCTCATTCTTTCTCTCTCATTCTTATTTTTTCACTATGGGACATTTAACAGCATTTAGGCTTTTTTATCAAGAGTTCAATAGGAGTTCCCAGTGTGAGTAATTTCTAACCACCCTCTGCTGGTATCTATAAATCATGTGTCAGATCTATAATTAATGAATTCAAAGGAAGATAAAAGGGGAAGCTTTTTAAGAAACACTAAAGTTAAACGATTTCCTCAATCATCCATTTTTTCTTAAAATTGATAATGTTTCCTACTGGTAGAGAACCACAAAGCTCTTTACTAGTAGCCTTGTCTTCCAGGATTTTACCACTGACCAAAGAAGCTTGCTAAGTGTGAAAATGGACTATTGCAAATCCTTACCAGTTAGAATTCAAACTACCATTTTATCCTAACCCCTCAAAATATAATGAAAAGCATAACCTTAGCCTGGGAAAAAAACATAATCTCTATGTACAAAGTAAGATATTTATATTCAAAATATAGAAACTAATTGAAACATGAG